GTAAACTATTTAGACTTGGGACTCGACATCAATATTAACGTAACCCAGAAATCGCTATAGAACGATTTAGAGTTTTAAATTGAACGCAAGACAAGTAGATTAAGGATAAATATAGAGTTCTAAGACCGAGTAATGATAATTTTTTCTAAATTTGCCCAGAGGGGCGAGTTTATTGGGCAGCGCCACTCATCTTGTGAGTGAACACACCGCCATAGCAGCATGTACAACACTCCCCAATAGGAAGAAAACTCGCTGGGTTGTTCATCCTGTCACTTGTACCCAGACACAGCTGGGACTTGCTTAACTGTCTCAAGTGAACAGCTCCTCAAACAAAAAGATTAACATCTGTCAACCCTTAAAAGCTTACGTTATCTTGCGGGTGCAAAATGGGAAAATCTTTTAAGAACAGTATCAATATTTGACAAATAGTGTGGGGTTTATTATTCTACGGTCAAGGCGGTGTCCGTCACTCTCACCACAGATTCTGCAACTTCGCTGAACAACTGTTGTTTCCATTCCGTATCTCTATGGATATTTGTATCCAAGACGGATTCTCGCTATTACTGATTCTCTCCCTCGTCCTCCTCCTCTTCGGCCATAATGATTGGGATTGCCAGCTGCAACCGTGTTGTACCATCGTACAGATTCACTGGTTTGTGCTTCTATCCTCCTTTCCTCAGTTACCTTGTCACGGTGATGTTGCCTGACAATACCTCTAATTTGTAGAAGAGTCTTGGGTATGAAGTATTCAATATGGTCTCCTTCAGCGCCTTCAGCAGCCAGCACATCTGCTCGTTCATTCCCACATATTCCAACATGGGAGGGGATCCACAGAACCTTGATAACTCTTCCCTGATTGGTAAGTACTCTCAATCAGGGAAGAGTCGTCAAGTTTCTGTGGATCCCCTCCCGAGTAATGATGTTAAGTTGCTCTATATATATCAGCTCAAGAACACTAACTCCTTAAAACACGTAGAGAAATGGAGAAATAACACACCACCTTCCCTAACCTACACCACCTTCCCTACCCTTCACTACCTTCCCTAACCTTCACCACCTTCACTAACCTTCACCACCTTCCCTACCCTTCACTACCTTGCCTACCCTTCACCACCTTGCCTACCCTTCACCACCTTGCCTACCCTTCACTACCTTCCCTACCCTTCATCACCTTGCCTGCCCTTCACCACCTTCCCTACCCTTCACCACCTCCTTGCCTACCCTTCACCACCTTCCCTACCCTTCACTACCTTGCCTACCCTTCACTACCTTCCCTACCCTTCACCACCTTGCCTACCCTTCACCACCTTCCCTACCCTTCACCACCTTCCCTACCCTTCATCACCTTCCCTACCCTTCACCACCTTCCCTACCCTTCATCACCTTCCCTACCCTTCACCACCTTCCCTACCCTTCACCACCTTCCCTACCCTTCACCACCTTCCCTACCCTTCACCACCTCCCCTACCCTTCACCACCTACCCTTCACCACCTTCCCTACCCTTCACCTTCTTCCCTACCCTTCACCTTCTTCCCTACCCTTCACCTCCTTGCCTGCCCTTAACCACCTTCCCTACCCTTCACCACCTTCCCTACCCTTCACTACCTTCCCTACCCTTCACCACCTTCCCTACCCTTCACCTTCTTGCATGCCCTTCACCACCTTGCCTACCCTTCACCACCTTGCCCACCCTTCACCACCTTGCCTACCCTTCACCACCTTCCCTACCCTTCACCACCGTCCCTACCCTTCACTACCTTCCCTACCCTTCACCACCGTCCCTACCCTTCACCACCTACCCTTCACCACCTTCCCTACCCTTCACCTTCTTGCATGCCCTTCACCTCCTTCCCTACCCTTCACCACCTTGCCCACCCTTCACCACCTTGCCTACCGTTCACCACCTTCCCTACCCTTCACCACCGTCCCTACCCTTCACCACCTACCCTTCACCACCTTCCCTACCCTTCACCACCTTCCCTACCCTTCACCACCGTCCCTACCCTTCACCACCTTCCCTACCCTTCACCACCATGTCTACTCTTCATCACCTTCCCTACCCTTCACCACCTTGCCTACCCCTCACCACCTTGCCTACCCCTCACCACCTTCCCTACCCTTCACCACCTTCCCTACCCTTCACCACCGTCCCTACCCTTCACCACCTACCCTTCACCACCTTCCCTACCCTTCACCACCGTCCCTACCCTTCACCACCTACCCTTCACCACCTTCCCTACCCTTCACCACCGTCCCTACCTTTCACCACCTACCCTTCACCACCTTCCCTACCCTTCACCACCGTCCCTACCCTTCACCACCTTCCCTACCCTTCACCACTCTCCGTCTCTGTAACCATATTCACTAAACACTTTGCCAGTAAAGGAACAGCGTCAGAGAAACTAACGTTCAGTAATTAACGTAGACAATAAGGTACCGGGTGAGCCTTAGTGAAGACGGAGTTAAGACATATTTAGTGAGGTTGGAATGTAGTGTAATTTGTCATATGATGGAAAGATGGGAGCACATGGCTCGATCCCCACGCACTTATGACCCAGACCAGTCACCCTGCATAGTTTGAACACGCTAGACTCAAGCGCCTGGGCCCCAGCCTTAAACAGACGAACATTCTCTTGTATAGAGAACAGTTAATAAAGCCACACTAACCCGGATGTGATCGGGTAAATATAATGTTTAACTCTGGGAGTTGACTATATTTCTCTGGTGTGTGATATTGCCATTAGCTAAGTCGACGGTCTTGTATGGTAACTGTTTTATTAAGTCATGGTGGAGAGACTTGAGAAGAGTGTAGTGCAGCGGCTGGTGAAGGAGAAGGTGACAGTTTTGGGAAGTGGTGCGTATGGCACTGTTAACTTAGTGAGGTGGCGCGGCAAGTTGGCGGCCCTTAAAGTGGCAAACTCCTATAGTGTTGGTAAGGAGTTGAGGCAGGAGGGTGAGGTCCTTACCCAGCTGAAGGGCGCAGGAGGCGCTCCCCTTCTCTATGGTGTGGCCACCGACCCTCCAGCTCTTCTAATGGCATATAAGGGTAAGACAGCCCTTTATGACGTTTTCACAAGTAACCAACACAACTTACTGCAACTTGGACTGCAAGTCGGGCACAAGTTACAGGAGGTCCATAACTTGGGTTACGTCCACAACGACCTCAAGAGCAACAATATTATGGTAGAAGGACCACCTCGCTCTCCGACAGTTAGTATAATAGACTTTGGGTTGACGTGCCCGGACGGAACCTCCCTGGGCTTCATTATTGACCCGGACACCTTCCCATACTATGCCCCGGAGGTGTGTGAAGGAAAGAACAGTACCTTTGCCTCGGACGTCTTCTCTTATGGTCGTCTTCTGCAGACCCTGGTGAGAGTAACACACACCCACAACCCGTCACTACACCTGCTGCTCCAGCAAGCCACACACCCACACCAAACCCGCCGCCCAACTTTACACAATCTACTCCAACATTTACGGGGACACGTTGACACTGAGAGTCCCAGTAAGAAGCGGAAAAGGGTCCCCAACCACGACACCCCCGCCAACATGGGCCAGACTAAGAGACGGAAAAGGGGCCACAACCACAACACCCCCGACAACACAGGCTACACTAAGGGACGGAAAAGGGGCCACAACCACGACACCCCCGACAACACAGGCTACACTAAGGGACGGAAAAGGGGCCACAACCATGACACCCCCGACAACACAGGCTACACTAAGGGACGGAAAAGGGGCCTCAACAACGACACCCCCGCCAACATGGGCCAGACTAAGAGACGGAAAAGGGGCCACAACCACAACACCCCCGCCAACACAGGCTACACCAAGGGACAGAAAAGGAGCACCAACCACGACACCCCCGCCAACATGGGCCAGACTAAGGGACGGAAAAGGGGCCACAACCACGACACCCCCGCCAACATGGGCCAGACTAAGGGACGGAAAAGGGGCCACAACCACGACACCCCCGCCAACACAGGCCACACCAAGGGACGGAAAAGGGGCCACAACCACGACACCCCCGCCAACACAGGCCACACCAAGGGATGGAAAGGGGCGCCAGACAGGTCCGTCCGAGCACCTCTTCCCAGGTTGGCTCCGCCCTTCCCGCCTCATTATTGTCCCTTACGGCATCGTTTCCTTCCGTTTGTCCTCTTGCTTTACCTTCCTGTGGCGCTGTGATTAACGCCTTGGGCTGCACGGTAGAGCCACGGTCTCGCTTCATGCAGGTCGCCGTTCAATCCCCGACCGTCCAAGTGGTTGGGGCACCATTCCTTCCCTTCGGCCTATCCTAAATCCTTATCCTGACCCCTTCCAAGTTTTATATAGTCGTAATGGCTTGGCGCTTTCTCCTGACAGTTCCCTTTCCTTTTCTTTTATGTGTGTGTGTGTGTGTAAGGAGAAGGGGGGGGGGAGCGTGTGAGGGAGGAGAGGAGGATGTGAGGGAGGGAAGAGTGTGAGGGAGAGGAGGGGAAGGGAGTGAGGGAGGAGAGGGGGGAGGGAGGAGAGGGGGAAGGGAGTGAGGGGGAGGGTGTGAGGGAGTTCTAAAGGATTCCTTACGCAAGTTTCTGAAGGAAGTTCTTATATTAGCCAGCCTTGCATACGCCGCTGATGTTATTATTTTTATGTGGTCCTCAGGAGACAGGTTTGGTGTGATATCAACTCCTAGATCTTTCTCTGTGTCCGTTTCATCTCCCATTAGTTATCCTGTGTCTGACCCCCTGTTTCGTCCGCCTAGTTTCATTACCAGGTCAAGACGAAGACCAGGTCAAGGCGAGGACCAGGTCAAGACGAAGACCAGGTCAAGGCGAGGACCAGGTCAAGACGAAGACCAGGTCAAGGCGAGGACCAGGTCAAGACGAAGACCAGGTCAAGGCGGGGACCAGGTCAAGGAAAGTAATAGAACAAGTGGAATCCGATTAGAATGAGACAGAGACACAGAGAGACAGACATATAGACACAAAGACAGGAATGATTGACTGGTACTCACGTAATACCATAGACGGGCTGCTGACGGCTGACACGCCTGTGACTCCCACCTTGGACTGCCTCCAGGGGCACGGCGCCCCCCTCCGTCCCCACTACCACCACTGCCACCACCATCGCGGCGAGCCACCACATTTTAAAACCTCGCGGCCACACACTGCGGAGAAGGTCGGAGAAAGGAGAGGCGAGTGCAGCGGCGGTGAGGGTCGTGAAGGCACTGGTGCCACTCAAGACGGTGGCGGGAACTGTGCCGAGTGCCAGGAACCCCCACCCCTTTCCACCCTTCCCCCCTTACCTCACCTCTCCTCCACCCACTCCAGGTGGACACACACACACACACACACACACACACACACACACACACACACACACTTCTTGAAAAGAGAATCTCAACATGGACACTAAAGGAAGGAATGGAAGCTCTGTGCTGGCCCAAGGTACAAAACAGAACCGGTGACGCTGCCCAATACACTTCGCCCTGACTTTAACAATATGAGGAAATAATCATTACGGACCTATAGTCCCAGACTAGAGTCCCAGAACGGAGGAATGGGATTTTATGAGGAAATACTAATCTAAACTTCGTCACTTGAAGACAGAGTGTTTAAAGTAGATACGATTACCACTTACAAAATTGTCAGGTTAATTGACAGGATATTCGAGGAAGAGTTGTACACAAAAATGGCGACTCAGGTGTCAAACGAGGTCCCAAATTAGCCAGATATTATAAATAATTTCTTCAGTGGAGTCGTGAACAAATGGAATGAACTAAGAAGTGAAGTGGTTTAGGCAAACAACAAACACAGCTTTAAATGTAGTTCTGTTAAAGTCCAAAAGGCTTGAAAACCTTTGTACCAGTTGATTGAAAGTTGAAAGAAGGGACCAAAGACCCGAAGCTCAAGCCTGCAAGCACGACCAGGCACGTACACACAACACATTCTCTGAACACAATATAACAGACCTTATGGGAATGGCAAAGATCCATCATTCGCTCACAAAAAAAAAAAACTCCATTTCGAATCACGTTACCAATCTCCTCTTATTCAAACTCAACAGCGTCAACATAGGGCTAAAAATACTACAGGGAGAGCGCCCTCGGGCCACGCCACACGGGGGAGAAGGGGCGTCGTATCTCTCAAGTAGCGAACATATGCGACGTGTGACACTCCAACAACAGCCAGACTCAGGCTCCTTCAGGAGACGCCGTCGCAGGAACAGCCAGGCCGTGGCCACGGGCCGGTCTGGTCCTGCTAACTGCTGAACGTAACACATGATACCGCTGATAGGGGGTATCAGAGATGAAATATACCTCATAATACAAGACGAGGTATATTCAGGAATGTGTTTATATAACAAAGTAATCGTTCTAAGCACACTGAGCTCACCTCCTTAGCCAGGAATCCTTGAGGAGGCGAGCGGGTAGAAGCCGACCCACTTGGAGAGGAGAAAAAACTAAATACTGTCACTGCCCGTCACTATGGCGGTATGTCCATCATCAACCACTACTTCACACTCAACCACAACCTTTGCTTGTACCTGATATGTCTTGATTTGATTGATGCTAGTTTATTGTGCAACCCATACTCATCCTGTGAGCGGTAGCGCAAAAAGCATTACAGAAGGCACAAAAGGGCTTTATCAGACCTCATCTTAGATTATTACATAAACAATTTCATTTATCGAACAAATCCACAAGGGCCGTGACGAGGATTCGAACCTGCGTCCGGGAGCATCCCAGACACTGCCTTAATCGACTGAGCTACGACAGTGTTAAAAGGGTTGAAACCGAAGTTCTAATGAACTTACTGGATCCCGTAGCCTCTCCGAGGCACAAACCAGGCTTTTACACAATTCCCCCCCCCCCTGCACCCGAGCTATGTATAAAAGCTTGGTTTGTGCCTCGGAGAGGCTACGGGATCCAGTAAGTTCAGTAGAACTTCAGTAGAACTATAGACATGAAGACTGGGTTTCGACTGTTTAAGGACTCCAGTGCTCCTCGGCTATCGACAAATACAAAAACATTTTTGTCGTCATGACGTACTTCCTCCAAACACGCCAGAATGGCCTGCAGTTCAGCTTGTGTGGATGATATATAATTACTAAGCCGGAGTTCAATTATCCTGTCCACAGTCCCAAACTCCGTATATTCCCTTATTAGGACGCCACACCCGGCCCTGCCATCCTCCGCCACCGACCCGTCGCAATATACATGTAAACTGTTGCCTCTTGGTAACCGAGATATCATGCTTCTATACAAACACCGTAATTGTCCCGGTTCATGATGAATCTTTTTCACCTTGAGGGGTACAATTTCGACGTCTATTTTCTGTACTTTCCAGGGAGCAGACATATTACACTGTCGAGAGGGTTTACAGCAGTCAAGTACGTCGTATTCCCTGAGGTCATGAGCTAATCCCCTCGTGTAGCATGTCTCCCTCAGTTTCCTGGAAGTGTGTACGTCACTCAAGCAGGTCTGAACGCTCTCAAACAGCTTATCCCCTCCTTTTCTCCGCATGAAACGAATAGATACTCTAGTGTTAATGTCACGGACTCTATCACACACACTCTGTAAATTCAATTCCATTCTCATTATTTCAATCATTGCATTTCTTTGACATCCAAGAATAATCCTCATAGCCTCGTTCTGTATCAGCTCTATTTTTTGAATTCTGCCTTGGCCTGTGTAAGACAATACGGGTGCTGCGTAGTCTATCAGGGACTGAACAGTGCTTATGTATAACATCCGCATGATAGGTACCCCAACACCTTTACCAGAAAAAGCCAGTGCTTTCAGAGGATGCAGACGGGCTTTACATAAGGTGCTGATATGATTTATTTCAGCATTTTTACTCTCACATGTGTATCCAACATACATGCCCAGATACTTGTACTTCTGTACACGGCTCAGTTCCACACCATTTAGAGTAAGTGTTATATTTCTTCGTTTCCTATACGCGTATTTGGTTTTATCTGCATTTATAACTAAGCCTAACTTGTGACAGGTTGTACCAAGTATGTTAAGAGCAGTTTGAATTTTGTTCCCAGAAGTGCCTTGTATAAGAATGTCATCAGCATATATGATCGTCGTGACCCCTGGAGGATACATCTCTGATGCTAATCTGTTCATTAATACATTGAATAAGGTGGGACTTAATACTCCCCCTTGTGGGGTACCTAACTGAAACCTCCGTTCCTCAGACATGTATCCCTGGTAATACACCTGACCTTTTCTGCCTTGTAGATAATCCCTTATCCAGTGTAGCAATCTCCCTGTTATTCCCAGATTGGCTAATTCGTATAAGATTACTTCCCCATTGGCTTTATCAAATGCTCCTTGTAGATCAACAAAAACTCTACAATTGTCATCCACATTAGACAAACACTTTAAGAGACAATCCGCAGTACTTTTGCCTTTGATAAAACCAAAGAGATTACTGGACGTGTTATCCCCTACAAGGTAGAGTAGCCTATTTAACAAAATCCTTTTCATCATTTTATAAAAGCAGGATATTAAGGAAACAGGTCTGTAGCCTCCTTTTGACTTAGGGATAGGAATGATGACAGCCTCTTTCCATTTTCTTGGTAACTTTCCCTCTTTATAACTCATATTAAACAAATCAAGTAAGGGACTAGGTTTCATACCGGCTAAATAATTAAGTATGTCATACGTTACTCCATCTTTTCCCGGAGCAGTAGAGCTGCCACTTTTTATAGCATCCAGTAGCTCATCGTGAGTTATCTCAGTGCATGTTATAGATCTTGTATTTAAGGCCTTGTTATTTAACGTACTCTAATTTACCCTACCATATTCTAACCTATGTGAACTGCGATTAACTCCCAAACATAATTCGACTCACAAACTCAGTCTCTCGACTACACCACACACTTTCCATACAACAGCAACACTTTGCTACCACCATTAACACCACTCCTCATATGTGCAATCCTGAGTCAAATTTCCACTCATATGTATATTTTGGTCTTTATCCTCACACAAATGGAAGACATAGATACCTTCCAACCTCTGCCACGTCCTGACCATTGTTGCCCCACAGTGAGTGCCGCATCTCTCAACATCACCACTCGTGCAGTCATCGGGAGGCAGATGACTGAATCTGCAGTCAGATTCAACTATGTTCCTGTTATAAGTGCTTTTATAATACCTTGTAAAGACTGTAATAGGTTCTATGTTGGACAAGCATCTAAAGATTTGAAATGTAGAATTTCGCAACATAAATACTCTGTAAGACATGGCCAATTGTCTAATGCTTTGTTTGTTCATCTGTCAGAAAATACTCACCAAATTGACTGGGAGATGGCTTCTTCAATAACGAATTGTAAAAGCACTTATAACAGGAACATAATTGAATCTGTTTTAATACAGATTACAAAAGAATGTAATTTGAACATTAGCTGTGGTTTATATAACTTAGATCCATTTTTGATAGATCAAAAATGTTGTGTTGGTCAAAAAAATAGTAGTGTTGCTCGAACGGTTAAGGGATCCTGTACGCCAGCAGAGCAGTATGGGTTGGCAGTATGGGTTCGAGTCACTTCTGGGGTACTCATCTAGTTGTGTTTGCGGGGGTTGAGCTCTGGCTCTTTGGTCCTGCCTCTCAACCGTCAATCAACTGATGTACAGATTCCTGAGCTTATTATTCCTAAAATATTATATAATATTTTATAAATAAAATATTTTTTTCCCTACCCCTACCCAAGAACGTCTCGTCAACATTACCCAGACTCTCCTCCCTCTGCACATCTTAGCCCCTCTCCCACACCTCCAAGTGGGCTCCACCTCTCAACACCTTATCACAACACTCTCTCAACTTGGTACTCCACTGTTGCCAAGGAGAAGTTCCTACCCTGGTATCCCACTATTACCGAGGAGGGATTCCGTCTCTGGTACTCAAGGGAGTGTTTTCCCCTTCTTTATATCATTATTAATATACTTGTGGTCGATTACGAGAGCTTGTATACACACTCTGTCTCTGAGGTTGTTTGTGCTCGCCGCCCCCCATAGCCTTCAGTCCATTTTCCATTTAGTCATTTATCATGCACCCAATACTCATCACGTGCAGGCGGTGGTGGACCGGGTTACAGAGGCACATGCTCAACCCGTCCTCCTAATAGAGATTGGCATTTTGACGTATATTCTACCTATGGCCAAAAATCATCGTACTAGAAAATGGTAGCGACTCACGAAATTGACATACTGTCCCGTTTTCTGTTTTGGGTCCTCTGGTAGGTTAAGATACGGACACTTTAGTACGACAGTTTCTTGTCGTTGGAGAAACCTTAGGGGAACGGGCTGCATGCTGAGTTCATAAACTGAAATCCATAGTTATGGAAGTGTAGTAAGTTCCTGAAGAACCTTGTTGTTGTTCTTAAACGCTACAACCTTCATTACAGCAATATTTCTTATATTTTCTGGAAGGTGGCCGAGTGTGGAGGCCCTTTAATGCTCTCACTATGTTCTCTAATTGTGCTTGACAACCTTATTTTTCATTTGGTTTATTTTATACTTCATACTGTTTCTCTCACTCCAGTATGTTGAATTTGTTGCATACAAGTTAGTATCTAACCTTCCAGTACATTATATATGATGATACATCTCGCCTCTGCTCCGAGGAGTACAATATTTTCGCTTTTAGGAGATCCCAATAGTATAATTGCTTTACTGATTTTATACTGGCAGTATAAAATTTGTATACTGTACTTATTACCTCTAATGCTTTCTTTGCCTCGTAAGGGAAGGAAGGGAACTATCAGGGGGAAAGCGTCAAGCCATTACGACTATATAGCACTGGGAAGGTTTTACAGGTTTTAGTTTAGTTAATTTATTATGCACCCCATACCCATCCTGTGGGCGGTAGTGAACCTCAAGAGATTAAAGCAGAAATTCTTCAGATAACCAACGACTGGTTTAAACGTTCTCTCCTTCCCCCAATCGGAACCAACTCGGGATAACCTGCGGGGGAGGGGGGGGGGGGTAGAAATAGCCTAAGCTACTCTATCCCTTTGAGATGTATTTTATTGTCTTAATAAACGTACTTGAATTTGAACCTGAGGTGGTTCCTAGGATTAATGACCCGTGACCCGGTCCCTGACCAGCTCTCCTGGTTGGAAGGCCTTCAAACAACCCAACATCAGCAACCGTAAACAAGACAACCATTACGGATTACCAGAGAAGGAACCTTTAGGCCGATACACCGTTAGTTATAAAGCGGGTGCTTCCTGGGAACATCGACACCAGCGCTCCTGTGCCAGGTAAGTCCACTACGGGCTCACCATAGCCCGTGCTACTTGCCCCGCTCCTGTGCCAGGTAAGTCCACTACGGGCTCACCATAGCCCGTGCTACTTGGAACTTGCTCCGAGTAGCTGAATCTATAACAACAACAACAACTGGGAACATTGTGTGTATGTGAGTTGCCGTCGGGATCTAGAAAGTTACTAGGAGGGGCACAATCACCTAACGTAAAAGGAAAACTGTATATTTATATCACAGTATAAAAACCTATTCTACAAGCAAACAAAAATAATACCCTTCGGTGCTTAGCTGTAGTGTATCTTATCTTGAGGTTATCTTGAGATGATTTCGGGGCTTTAGTATCCCCGCGGCCCGGTCCTCGACCAGGAAGCAGCCTGTGACAGCTGACTAACATGTCAACCCTAAACAAAACAATACTATTTGTGATCAAGTTTGTTTAATTATCCTATTTCAGTCCATCCTCCTGTTGTGGTAGTACTTATAGTAACGATGAAGACCATAGTACATGTACCGATGTTCAGCGCTATTAGAAAGTAGAAATCGGTACTATTGAATTTGGACAAACTGGAAAAGATTTTATATTTATGTTGCAAAGATACACTAAACTAGCCTAGCCTAACCTTCCCAGGCCTAACACACGCTATCTGAGGCCTAATATAGTACATGTGTGTGTTACACTAGGCTTTGGGATATTTAAGTTTGTTTTTTAGCTTCATTTTTTCGGACTATAAATTATAGTGAATAGTACAAAATTCTACTATTTTCTTAGTACGTCAATCTTTGTACTACGTAAACATTGTTACAAAAACTACTATCTAAACAGGAGGATGGGTCGTATTATACCTGGTTGATGGGGTTCTGGGAGTTCTACTTCTCCCCTAGAAGTAGTTCTTCTACTACTGACTTGTGAGAGTTTGGTCCAGCTTCATCATCCCAAGTGTCCCAACACACTAGTGGACACTGAACATCTCCTTAACATTCTAGCTTTACTTCAATAGTTGTGTTGCAAGTGCTGGTTGGCTGCTGCTTCCAGACGAGGTCTTCTCTCTCCACCTGAGACGGTGGCCGCAGCCTAGCACACACACACACACACACACACACACACACACACACACACACACACACACACACACACACACACACACACACACACACACACACACATGCCTCGCTTCTCATGTTCTCTTTACAACTATTACAACTAGATTCTGCTAAAGAACCATTAGGGATATGCTAGGCAATCCTTATGTTGCTTGGAGCGGCCCGCAGGCCCACATACCCACCACAGCCCGGTTGGTCCGGCACTCCTTGGTTATGTATAGTACAAATTAAATCCCATGTGTTATCATTACGATAGTACAACCATCATGATGATAACAGTGAAAATGACAATAATATGTAACTCTGGCAGCCCTAATTCTCTCTACTTAGCTGGTAAGGGGATAGAGGTGGAGGGCGTCCACCGGCCACCCTCCGCTGTCAGTGTTGAGGTCGCTACTGACCAGTGACGCTCCTAGTCCCACCTTCCACACGCTCACTCTCCCTTGGCTGCAGAAGAAGTGAGCCGTAATGTTATTACCTGCTGGATGGGGGTTCTGTGAGTTCGTCTATTCCCCAGGCCGGGCTTGACTTGTGAGAGCTTGGTTCAACCGCTTGTTAAACTGCTCTATTGCCATTTCAAGTCCCCACGTAACACTTGGGCAGCGTTTTCCAACTTCATTTTTTTTTACTGCGAACCGCAGCCAGAACTGCATTTTGTATTGCTACCAAGTATGCCTGTGTAATAAATCCCTGTGAACTATGTTCCTTTATTTATTATTGACACGTGATAAATACATATTTATGTATGGAACTTATTCAATTAAATTTCATATTTCTATTTTTAGGAAGAATATAGAAAAATAAAAAATACATTTTGTATAAAATTCTAGTGAAAAAGACACAGTAAACATTATATATATTTCTAATTTTTATTTAATGAAGATGTTCGTAAGTAGTTGATTCCAATTTGGAACACAGGAAGACAATGCTACGCGCATATCTGGAGCATATTCCCATATTGTGTGATGGCTGCTGCTTGGCCATAGTAGCTTGCACCTTACAGATTAAATACTTAATCCATCTCCAATATAGCAAAAATCAACAATTTAATAAATATGCATAAACAGAGGACGATTGACAAACCGCCAGCTTCCTGACCCCGTCGACGGCACTAGAGACAGTGGTCCTCTGGTAAAACATTGTTTAAGGGGTATAAGAAGAAGACTACGGTGTTTATGCTAGAGTTTATTGCACTAGTATACAGATGCTTCATCATCCCAAGTGTCCCAACACACTAGTGGACACTGAACATCTCCTTAACATTCTAGCTTTACTTCAATAGTTGTGTTGCAAGTGCTGGTTAGATGCTGCTGCTTCCAGACGAGGTCTTCTCTCTCCACCTGAGACGGTGGCCGCAGCCTAGCACACACACACACACACACATGCCTCGCTTCTCATGTTCTCTTTACAACTATTACAACTAGATTCTGCTAAAGAACCATTAGGGATATGCTAGGCAATCCTTATGTGAACCTGTTAACAGCTATCAATAATCTCACTGAGACAATAGGATACTGCTGGACGGATACATATAAATATATATTTAAGGCATTCATTTTGTTCATCTCCCCAAAAACGTACATCTTTTACTTGACTAACATGTAAAAAGTTATGATGCATCGTAGTGCAATGAGAAAATCATAGCTTAAAAAAGTAAAATAAGGCCCAATTATCCTTCGAGAAGTGAGAGAGATAATGGTCAGAATGTCCAAGTCCCCCTGCACAAAACCCGGTATAGAAAATAGAGGATATGTAGGGGACACTGCTAGAAACCACACTAGTTTGTCTTTATGCTGAATTGCTAGTGATTAAATATACAGTGCTTTCATATCATTGCTTTGGAATGGTCACTCGGGAGGACAGTGCGAGTTTCCTACACTTGTAATGTCACAACTTATTATATCTTTGTGCCTTATTGAAGCCAGGCAATTATGGCTTGCAATATTGATAAACATAATTCCCTTTCTCGGAAACAGGGGGCATGGTAGGCTTATCGAGGTCCCATAAGACCAACCCCTGACCCTCCCCAGGATGCAACCCACAACAGCCAGCTAACTCCCGGGCATCTATTTCACCGCTTCATTAATAGCGGCATTGGGTGAAAGGAGGGACCATTCGTGCAACCATTACATACGTTCAAGAAAATGAACAAATCCATCAAATCCTCCGAGGTAACCAGAGCGGCTTCCGCGGGTGTCGCCCGCACCTCCTCCCACCTACTGTGGCTCTTGGTATATACAAGTGCTTTATTTACATCTAGTTAGTGAGAGAAAAGAAACCCAGACAGGAATTACATTCCGGATAATTTTCACCTTAGTTACTGGGAATTACTTAAACCTATTCAAACAATGGAATTAACACATGGAATGTCTGAGGTGCTCAGCTTTTATATTTTATGTATATATGTAGATGTATGGATTATGCTTGAATGTATGTACGCATATATTTATATACACACATGTGTTTTTTTTAATTTTAAGCGAATTTAAAAATTATAATTTATATCAAGCGTGCCAGGGATTTAGTGTGTATGACTCGAGTCAATAAAAGCAGATTTATATTAATACGTCAAGAAATGATGCAAAGTCACAACAAAACCAATTGACAATGAGGTGGCCAAGTTTGAAGTTGGAGAGGGAAGAAGAGGCAGGTAGGGAGAGGCCCCAGATGGCGTGTGTAATGTGAAAATAACAACCTGTGTTATCCACGAGTCCAGTTAGCCAGAGACATCTTCCGTCACAAGCCAGAAGCGATCAATATTTTTGGAGGAGTTTCAAGTACGTGGCTATTAGAACCACTGATCAACACCCTCAACACCTGGATTGTGGCCGCCAAGACGACTCTATGCTAACTCTGTAACTCAGGATCGTAAACAAGAAAAATAATTATTTAAAAAGAATTAAACGTTCAAAAGGGTAGCTTTCCTGTTACTTCCTGAGTCGATAGACACTGGCCTTTCTATCGCAGGAAAATTGTATATAAGGAATATTCAGGTTTTCGAGGGAAGAAACCATAGGATTGTGGACGATAATGACAGAGAAGCAAACACTTACTATCAAAGAAACCGCGCATGAGCGTAAGTCGCGTCCATATACGTAGGAAGACCAACAGGCGCCTGTGACTTTGGTCCGTTTGCAACCTAGGAACTCATATGGACTCTATAAACAGCCTAACGAAATCAATATACGATGAGGTTAATAAATTCTTGTCAAAATTTGATAACGTTTTTTTTCCGAGGTCCACGTACTATCCCAGGAGGTTTTAGGGGGACTGGCAAGAGACACTATCACCGAGACAGAGTATAGTGCATGCAGCCACATTCCTCGCACTGGGATAAACACTGCATAAACTACTTCGAATTTGTAACTTAGCAAAGAGGAGTTCAAAAAAGATTATAGAAGAGAAAATATAACACACTAGAGATCTGGAATATTGCGATAATGTTAGCGAAGACAAATCCAAATTAAAATATCTTCATCAGAAGAGCTACACTATAGTTTTGTGTTGTTGTGGTGTACAGACTAGTGAGTTTGTCCACAGACAGCAACAGTAGTACATATCTCATGTAAGCCAAGTAGAGCTCAATATATCACAGCTAAGTATTATAACTAAAATAACTATCAATATAAAATAAATTTATTATATTTTAAAATTATATATATATATATATATATATATATATATATATATATATATATATATATATATATATATATATATATATATATATATATATATATATATATATATATATATCATCTATGTTTTAAGAAAAACTAATTTTCCCAGCTTGTTCAACTTGTATCAGTGTGACTCTTGTAACAAGTCCAAGACACGTCCAGCACACACAAGATTCACGACCATTATAGCCTGGGATGGTCAGCAACAACACTTACCACTGATGCCAGCTTAATCCGAACTCTACACGCTTCGTTATACTGTACTTAAGGCCAGACATGATCAAAGCTGACAAAACTAGGATTAAAGCTTAGGACCCAACTCAAGTTAATAATAAATGCGTGTGTCGACGATACGTTCTGACGCAATACGCCAAGTTTGTTCATATTTTCTGTTGTTTTGGCTGCGGAGCGCACACGAACACTGGTGGCGGGAGGAGACAGTCCCATCCACCACATGAAATCAATCGTTAAAACGTTCGTTTATTGCGAGACAAATAGATTATGAAGTACTCATTGCAGCAGCAGCAATGTTCAACACTCCAATCAAACTGGCCAAATACTAATGAACTTATCGATAGCTGTTTCTTAAAGTATACTGGACAAATTAAGGATGTGTTGGATGGGACTGGCAGCCCCCAGTAACACATATAAAGTATCTCCAACAACCTTCCCACGTGCTCTTATTCGCCTTGATTTGTTTTGATTTGGCAGACTTGTCTGCCATACGTCAGTGTGGCAAAGAGTGCAAGGAGAGTAAAGAAGTTTGGAAATAACTCACGTCATCCAGAACTTTTAAGTTTTCGTTACAATGGAGGAAAAAAACAGCCTCACTGCGAGCATCTAGACCCTTCTCATCAGACGTAATTTGTCCTTGTTAAAGGAGGTATTAAGAGTTGATCACTTCTATAAAAGACGCTTCAAGTTCAAGTTATAGAAAATGTGGCTTGATGTCAACTAAGACGGAAATACTGGAGAGTTGCAGGCAGCGAGAAAAAGGTCCAGTGTGGGCCAGAAGAATGACGGCAACAGCAAGGTGTTCTTTCCGGGAAACCCACAATAGTCCAAGCTGTCTGAGGTGGGTCTTCAAATATTACATGGACGGGAGAGGTTGTGATAGTGAGCCCAGTGTTGTGATGGTTCCTGACGTGGGTTTGGGTGTTGTCAGTGGGCCACTGGAGAAAGAGTGGTGCAGCTGGCCACTGCATCCATATACTCCGGAGACTCTACATTATAGCTGCAGGCTGCCAGTGGTTGCAGATGTTTGGTGGACCAAACTCTCACAAGTCATGTCTGGCCTCGGGCCGGGCTTGGGGAGTAGAAGAACTCCCAGAACCCCATCAAGCAGGTATCAACCAGATGACTGGGAGGTTACTGAAGATGAAGACGGTACTCTTGTGGACATCAGCATAAACTTCATTGCTCGAAATATTATACTAGATATGATTTGAGGTGTTTTTACACTTTTTTTTTGCAGTTGAAGATGAGAGTAGTCTGTTGGGATAATATGAGGTTGCTGGAGATGACACAGTTGGTGGTAACGAAGGTAACCGGAAGGCGTCTTGAGGTTACCGCTTGAGGTTACCGCTTGAGGGTAGTGAGAATGGAAAAGAGGCGAGAGTTCTTCCTGGGAGAGGTCTTGCCACTACACGAGGAGTCAGAGTCGCTGGCATTGGCAGCCTGTCGTCGGGCAGCAGCAGCGGCAGCAGCTGCCGCTCCTCCTCCCATCTCAAGCTTGCTTAGTTTTCGCCTCATCTGCTCGTCCAACAGCTGTTGCATGTCCACCTGTATACAAATGTTACATGTCAATCTATGCACACACACATGTACTGTATTATAAATAAATTAAAATGTAACTAGCACAAGTGCCTGTATAAAAAAAGATAGCACCATTACATTGGTAAATACATGAACACGAACAAGAAGACCAATACAGGTTGAAGAGAAGCACAATCACCTGCCACTGCTCCAGCTGCTGGGAGAGCTCCACCTTCTGCTGGATGGCCTCCATGAGTTGAGAGTTGATCTGCATCACATCAATCCTGGTTCTCGCCAACTCAATCTCGCAGGCGTTCTTGCGGGCCACTGCGTTGTCCCGCATGTCCCAAGCCTGCGGGGCGGAGGTTTGTTATTGGCTGTGCTCACTGGGGATTGTCTGCTGCTGTCTGCTCTCCTCCCTACACAATGCACTCTCACTTATCGTCTCTTTACATCCTCTTACCACGCTCTATCTTCCCTTCCCTCTACACCTCCCTCCTACACTGTTCTCCCAAAGCTCCTCTCGCTTATTCTACCAACCGCTTGCATTATTTCACTGCCTATCCTCTTCTTTTAAACCAATTCTTTATACAAATTTTTACTCCTACGAGTTTCCTTCCTATTTCGTATTCTTCTTCCATTCCACAGCCTTTCCATTCAACGCTTGTTATTCCCTTTCACCTCTTCCTCTATTCTTCTCTCCCTATCCCTTCATCTGCTTCCCTCATGCCTACTCTACCCTTCACTCTGCCTCACCTTCTTGATGAGCTCGTCCTTTGCCAGGTGGGTGTTGCTAAGGTCATGCTTGAGGTTGTCCCGCTGTTCAGCCACGGCCTTGAGCTGAGCCTCGCCGAGTGTCAGCTGGTGGCCCAGGTCGGCGGCCTCCTCCGTCTGCAACACAACCATTGTGTTCGTGAATGAGCAACATTTGGGCACGCGAACAGGTTATACAAATGATTTGCCTAAGATTTTTATTTCAGTGTACGTTTAGCGAATACGCCAAGGTCATTGTTATGTTCTTAGTGTATTTATCATGTAAGAAGTGTAGACAGCAAGTTTCACACAATTTATGAAAATAAGTAAAACAAAGTGAGATTATTTATGTAAATAAACAACTGAAACAACCAATGAATATAGTGTAATGAATAGCAAAAATATTTATACCAACTAGTTATACCTTCAAGTACAACAAATCTGAGCCTCTATCATTGGAAAATGTTTGCTTGAGCACCTCACCTTGCCCTTGAGTTTATCCTTCACGTCAGCAAGTTCGATGTTGAGCTTGTCGACGGCTTCCAGCGCCCTGTGGACCTCCTGCTCCAGCTGCAGTCTGTCCTCGCTGCGGCCACAGGAGGCACACTCGCCCTGGGCCTCCCGCCGCAGGAGGTCTCTGACCAGGCCCCGTAGCTCGCGCACCACCCCGCCCAGCACGCCGCTCTGAGGGGGGCAGCAGAAGGCTGGGTCACGATACATGTTTATTATAACATGATAAACGACTCCTAAGAGAGAGATCCATTCTCTTGAGCGGATCTCCTTCCTGAGGACTGATTGAGCATTTGACAAGGTACGACAACGGGAATCACTTTAGAGAAAATGTTTACCAATTGAATTGCTACTAGTTTCTCATATAGATATGGAGCTGGTCGCCGGTGCAGTCTTTATGACTGCACACGCTCAAATATATCGACCCAGTGCAAACTAACATTTACTTAAAAACAAATTGTCTTGGACAATGAAAATTATACATTAGCAATATTTTGGCCAAAATGCTTTTGTTCAGTGTATGTTCTTTAATACTCTCCTTGCATCCCCGATTGAGATGACCATAAATGTCATCATTTAAACGGCTGGACAAGAGTAAGAGTTTGGGTGAGGGTGGGCAGCGATGACCTTACCTTCAGTTTATCCGGCGAGAGTTCATCGGAGGAGTTGGTGGAGAGAGAGGTGAGGGAGTTCCTCCGTCTGTGTCTTAGCTGGTCGATCATCACTCGAACCTGACCGATCACGTCCACAACCTCCTGCCGCAGCTGTAAACCACCAAAGGTCAAGGTTATAGCCATTTCACAACCTACCACAACCAAAGGTTAAGGTTATAGCCACTTCACTGCCTACCACAACCAAAGGTTAAGGTTATAGCCACTTCACTACCTACCACAACCAAAGGTTAAGGTTATAGCCACTTCACTGCCTACCACAACCAAAGGTCAAGGTTATAGCCACTTCACTACCTACCACAACCAAAGGTTAAGGTTATAGCCACTTCACTGCCTACCACAACCAAAGGTTAAGGTTATAGCCACTTCACTGCCTACCACAACCAAAGGTCAAGGTTATAGCCACTTCACTGCCTACCACAACCAAAGGTCAAGGTTATAGCCACTTCACTACCTACCACAACCAAAGGTTAAGGTTATAGCCACTTCACTGCCTACCACAACCAAAGGTTAAGGTTATAGCCACTTCACTACCTACCACAACCAAAGGTTAAGGTTATAGCCACTTCACTGCCTACCACAACCAAAGGTCAAGGTTATAGCCACTTCACTACCTACCACAACCAAAGGTTAAGGTTATAGCCACTTCACTGCCTACCACAACCAAAGGTTAAGGTTATAGCCACTTCACTGCCTACCACAACCAAAGGTCAAGGTTATAGCCACTTCACTGCCTACCACAACCAAAGGTTAAGGTTATAGCCACTTCACTACCTATCACAACCAAAGGTCAAGGTTATAGCCACTTCACTACCTACCACAACCAAAGATTACGGTTATAGCCACTTCACAACCTACCACAACCACCATACAACTCCCTCCTGCAAGTTAATACACAAAACCATGCAAGTAGGTCAAAGACTCCCCCAATTATAGTTTACATCTGACCTCAACAGTTTTACTACCCGTAAATAACTCTCATCAACTAACCTAACCCTTCACACTTGAAATAACTTGATAAGGGGTCTTGGATGAGCCCAAATGTCTTCACTTTCCTTTATAATCACATGTGCGTGTTAGGTTATTTGTGTTCAACAGAATTACTGGGGCATGTTCTCTGCCAACCCGTTCTCGCAAATTTAATAAGTCAATATTGACTTATTAAATATGTGCATAGGTGACATACTTAACATAATAGTTTCCCTTGAAAAGATTCATAGAAAACACCGACCTTACCTAACCTACTTAGTATGTTATCTCTGCACTACTAAGTACATTACATTGTTTCCCGACGCCAAAGGCGCTAATTAAATACTGTGTAGCCAATTTACATTGTACAATGAGCTGCGAACTCACTCACGGTGTTCACTCTATTAAATACTATTGAGGGTACAGAGACCAGCATTTACACTCACTCTTACATACCTCTTATACACCTTATATTTATATACCAGTTGATTGACAGTCGAGAGGCGGGACCGAAGAGCCAAAGCTCAACCCCCGCAAGCACAACTAAATGAGTACCTCTCTCTCCCACGCAGCTCACAAGTCTCCTTCCATTGACTACTATCGTCTACTTTCATTTCACATTTAATTCTCAAAGAAACGCTATTTCTAATGAAACTTCTAAGCACGTATAAAAAAATTACCGGCCTATCTACTAGGATCTTTCTGAACAATGCTCTGAACACACGTGTTCAGAGTTAAGAACTCTGAACACATCGTGATCAAGAACTAAGTTCTGACTTGAACACACTAGCTTTCCTAAAACCTCCCAATTACTTGTGAATACTGAAATATTAAACCAAAACTTAATGAACTGTGAGGTTTCGGTTCTAAACTTCTAAAGTATAGAAGTTCTATATCTCTATGTTATACCCCTAACTATTATATATTAAGATAATCAACTTTCCTAATGATACTGCCACTACGCCCCGATTTCAATAACAAGCAACATCTTAAGACATCATTAATTCATAACTCCACAGTCGTCCAGACTCGAGTCTCCCCAAATGAGGACATTTTTGCCAACACACTAAAACATGATTAAGGACTAAGAGAAGGCCTCTCTAGCTACACAAACATGATGTCAAAAGATATCTTAATTTCTAAGAAACTTACCGATGCTCGTCGTGTTCACCGCACAGCTATGAATTCATGGCAAATACAAATATGCCGACCTATGAAAGTATTCTTGTTGATACAACTAGGAAGCTCACACAGACATGCTACTCTACTACAGCCTAAACATTTAGTCAGAGATCTTACAGTAGATGAGTGGACAGTAGTCACTAATGAACTAATCCATCGGGGTGACGTAGTGATGCAGCCTAAACCATGATCAGTTAGCATCTACGGTACAGTATTACTAAATGTGTGAACAATTAAATCTACTATAGGATTAGGATTCATAGCTACATAAAAGTACATGTATTTCTATGTAACAAAACTGACGGTGCATCTTCATACAGAAATCTAGCAAAACTTTGAAGGTAATACCTGAGAAAAATGAAAGCTTCACAAGCATCGAGGCATAAAGTGACTTTCAGCAACTAACATGTTAATTCAGGGCATAAAGTATAGGCATAAAGCCTTGAATTCAATAAACATGGAAGCCGAGTGAATGCACGACTATCAATTCATTTTTGTTAGCACTACAAAACTACTGAACTAAAAAGTGTATCTGAGGTGAAGCTAGGCTACTACAGTGCTGCTTGGTGCCAGCTACATTACAGCCTAATACAGCAGGCTGGTAGTGGGGTGGTGTCACTTACAGAAGTTGTGCCCTTGAAAAGAAACAAAGAATTGAAATTAGACAATGACAACAAAAATGCCACACATGCACTCAAGATAATTGCTCTCTGGTCTATCTAAACTAAAATAAAATAAAAAAAACACCACACTACAAATCACATTTAGACACAAATGTGTAAAAAATTGAGCTTGAGCAATTTGAGATTCAGGAAAAGCAATAATTAAACACACATTCACTAGGAATTCACAATAGCGTGACATATCTGTATGAAAATCATTGTAGCAGGCCGTGGCTCCAAGCAGTGTCCTCGCGCCTTAAAGGTTCCGAAATAAGCTAACACTTGAGAGCCATATAAGGCACATTATAGTATTTGCACAGGTGAGAAAAGTCTCTCACACAGTCACACACAATGCTTTATGAGACGCCCATGGCCTAAAAGTTAGGACAATTTATCACGATTTGAGATTCAAGAGCTATTGTTAGTTGTCTTGAAAAAAAAACTGAAAGGGTGGGTAAAATGAAAGAGCCAAATGCTAGGAAGAAATATGGTGACTCTGGACACACGTCATTAGTTTGTGAATAAAACCTGGTTCACCAAAGACGTCGGTGGATAGAGGTGTTAGGCAAGACATAACTTGGATGTTAGCATCGTAAATAACAGCTACAGAACACATTATAGCACTCAGTAAAGAAAGGTGGAAGGACATGTCTGGTAGGGCCACTGAAGAAGGGTGGAATGAGCTGTGAACGATCATTAGTGAGGGGGGGGGGGAAACGGGCGTTTAAGGAGGCAGACAGCTACAAAAGTTCGAAGTGGACGGCGGTGCTCACCATCTTGAGTGACTCTGAGTCAGTAGACGGGTAGAGGACTGGGTCGTCGCACTCGATAATGTCGTCCTCATCCAGATCGAGGAGATTCTCTGGTATACTGGGATGAGAGTGCGGTCGAGAGACTGAGGGAGAGAGAAGCACACGTTAACTCTTGCATCACTATCACTACAACAATAGGACACTTAACAGTCAATGAGACGAGCCTCATAAGACAGCGTGAATTTTAATGCATATAGGACACAGTTCCTGGATTATTGACTAAACCTTAAAATGTAGGATCTTTATCAGCGGTTAACGGGCTTGGGGAGAAGAAGAACTCCCATAAACCCCATCAACCAGGTATCAACCAGGTATCAACCAGGTATCAACCAGGTATCAACCAGGTATCAACCAGGTATCAAGCAGGCTAAAAATCACCGTACTAAAAATTGTGACACTAAAGCTCCGAAATCATCTCAAGATAACCTCAAGATAACTATGAGTTGCCACTCACCTTCATGGTCGCTCATGTCTATCTCGTTTTGGAGGGAGGTGTGACCCATGGAGGGGGAGGAGGAGTTCCTGCTGTAGGCCTCCAGACGGTCCGTCAGCGAGAGGTTGGTGTGCCGCAAGTCATCCAGATCTCTATCTCTGTTCCGCAGCTGTAGGAGAGACTGCCAGGTAAGGCCAAGGACAAACATCACTTCTTCCTTCCCAATACTCTGGGAGCTACATAAATACATAAGCTTAACGAGATAACATTTAATAGATATTAAAGACAGGCATCACTTATAGCATGTATTTCAACAATTTAACAAATAATAGTTCAGTAACTTCAATTTAATACCAGGCTATCATTCATCTTTTAAAAATAAAGACCATTTAATCTTACAAACAAAACGGGCAAGTCAGTTTTGGAATAGCCAATTTGTATAATGCAATCTAAGAAAATATATCAGTTTTAAGCACTCATTGTTCATCAACACGATCCCCCACTCCATAATCTGTCTCTACAGCATGAAGGTGCCCAAGCTACGTGAATGAAGGGTTTTAGTGACAGGTAACGTTACCACCTACTGTATGTACGTCTATGCATTGGACAAACTAGCTTATCTCTACATTTTTAATGTCTGGAAGACATTTTGTAAGCGCTAACCAGCGTCCAAATCACTATACAATCCGTCCTCTTAATAGAACGTTGCGTTTTGACGTATACTCTATCCAAGGCACTCCAAGGCACGCGTTTTGACGTATACTCTATCCAAGGCACTCCAAGGCACGCGTTTTGACGTATACTCTATCTACAAGTCAAGCCTGGCCTCGGGCCGGGCGTGGAGAGAAGAAGAACTCCCAGAACCCCATCAACCAGGTATCAAGCAGGCTAAAAATCGCCGTACTAAAAATTGGTAGCGGCTCGCAAAATCGACATACTGTCCCGTTTTCTGTTTTGGGGCCGCTGGTAGGTTAGGATAAGGGCACTTTAGTACGACAGTTTCTTGACGTTGAGAAACCTTTTTTTTCCAACGCTACCATTTTTAAGTACGACAATTTTTGGCCTTATCTTGAGGTTATCTTGAGATGATTTCGGGGCTTTAGTGTCCCCGCGGCCCGGTCCTCAACGAGGCCTCCACCCCCATGAAGCAGCCCGTGAGAGCTGACTAACACCCAGGTACCTATTTACTGCTAGGTAACAGGGGCATAGGGTGAAAGAAACTCTGCCCATTGTTTCTGCCTCGTGCGGGAATCGAACCCGCGCTACAGAATTGCGAGTCCTGCGCCTTAAGTACAGTATGCGTCAAAATGCGACGTTCTGTTAGAAGGACGAGTTGTTGCTGGATCCTCGGGGTAACTCTTTGACCGTCTTTCTGCCAGTCCAGACAGAATACTCACCATTGCCTCTTGCTCTCTTGACTGCTTCTCCAGCATCACCAGCCTGTCAGAAGTGGCGTCCAGGTTGGAGCTGAGACCTTCCCGCTCATCCATCAGGCTGTCTATCCTGCGCTCCAAGTCCATTTTCTGCTCCGTCAGCATGTTGATCTGTAGTAACCAAACGCGTGAATAATAACCAAAAGTATATACAGATAGGTCATCACAATCACTAAATATTGGTCTGGTCTGGTGTTGGGCTTAAGGCCTATCTAACTCTGGAGGATTTAAAGGTGGTGTTATTAGACGAAGTATATACTCATCCCATACTTTTGAGAGAGAACTCTATCTACGTTTGAGAGAGAATTCTATCAACATCAGAGGCCCGAGACTGTTCAACACGCTTCCACTACACATAAGGGGCATAACTGGCCGACCCCTCGCAGTGTTTAAGAGAGAACTGGATAAGCACCTCCAAAGGATACCTGATCAACCAGGCTGTGACTCATACGTCAGGCTGCGAGCAGCCGCGTCCAACAGCCTGGTTGATCAGTCCGGCAACCAGGAGGCCTGGTCGACGACCGGGCCGCGGGGACGCTAAGCCCCGGAAGCACCTCAAGGTAACCTCAAGGTAACCCTGAATATACTGCACGACTACCGGAAACTCTTAGCGTATATACACCGAGAAACGACGTATATATTATTTCCTAAACTTCTGCATATAGCTCGGTGACTAAAGTATTCTTTTTTTTAAATTATAATTAAACATTTTTACTTGCGAAACAAAGAGTGGAGGATAGTGACAAGTATTACGAGGGCTACAGGGATAGAATTCACAGCTTACAGACTGTTTGCCTTTTTCGTGCCATTCCTTTATAGTTTTATACAAAATATTCCTTCTAACTTATATATGTTCTTTCTAACTCAAGTTTCGTGCATTCCTATAAATTCATGTTATTGTGATAGCGGATCCGTGCTCACTTTTAAGACCACACTGAAGGCCATTGCATTTAAATTTAGGAAATATGCAAATTACAAATTTCTCCTAAATGCCAGTTGTCTGCTGAAATATAAAGATCTTAGGCGTTCCTACAGAATGTCTTACAATAATCATGGTATGTTGGTCTCAAATTAAATTATTTGTATTGTCTTAGTAATTTGAATTTTTTTTTGCTAATATTGACCACTCAAAATTGCAAGCAATATTTTATTGTTTGTCTTATTTACTTCTTTTTTGCCTAAAAAACTTTAATTGTTAAGTTTTAAATTAAGTAGACTTGATTCCAGATCATATAAAGATTAAGGATGTGTTATGTCTCACTATACAAGGTAGAGATCTTTAAATAAAGTTTATTATAGGCTTCCTGTTTTATTACTGTATCAGTAATGTACACACTACACTACACTATTTGTTCATCACTAATGTCGTTGGTGCTGTAACAATGACCACTCTATACACTCTTTTTCATTTCTTAGGCCATATAGACATGGCTGTTTTTTATTATATATAATAATGTATAAGTACAATGATCACTAGGCTATTGTTATTTACTTTTCTTATATAAACTTATACATTATTAATTTTATACATGGATTTTATACACTAATTATAAATGTACAACCATTTACGAGTAAGTTACTAATTGATTTTTATGACAGGTGATGCCTCGACACTTGCCGCCTGGGATACATTTACATAGCGCATCTGTGCTCAGTTTTAAGACCACACTGGAGGCCATTGCATATAAATTGACGAAATATCCAAATTACAAATTTCTCATAAATGCCAGTTGTCTGCTGAAATATAAAGATCTTAGGGTTCCTACAGAATGTCTTACAATAATCATGCTGTAGCCTACTATACAATTTTAACCGTAAACTTTGTAAAAAAAGCTATATCAATGTTGATGTAAGTGTAGTAAGTAAGCTATGTACTATAAGACGTAACGCTATCTACCTTATTACCTTTCTCAACGTAACAAGGCAATTTCGACAAGAACCTTCTCGCCCCCTTTCTCTCAGCCTCTTAACCCCCCCCCCCCCCCCTTTCATTACCCACAATCTACAACCCCCCCCCCCCCACCCCGTAATCTTCTAGCACCTTTTTTTTTATTTCTATAGTTGTTTTTTTATTTCTCTAGTTAGTTCTATTTCTATTGGTTTTTATTTCTATATATTTCTACAGTTTACCATTATTTGGTAAACACAAATAATGCAAGTTGTGGGCCACACTTTGCAACACATTAAGTAGAGAGGGGAAGACACTGTAGGATCAACACAGTGTTCTTCACACGAGTGTACAAGAAGTACACTCTACAAAGTTTTGAGTTGTGCACTTTGGAACACGGAAAGTGGTTTTTATTATTATTTTTTACACAAGTGAGCACAGGAAAAAAAATGACTAAAAGCGGTTGTGCAATTTTTCTCATGAAAGTATACGGTTTTGTACTTTATGACATTAACAGTTATAAACAGTCATTTGCAGGTAGACAGATTTACAGCACGCGTCGAAGTATTACAGCATACAGGCAAACTGCGGACCTAAGTGTGGAATTCAGAATGCAGTTCCATAAAACCAATTGGAGTCCAAATGGTTAATTAGGGGTGTTTGGAATTGAGAATGAATGACAGCAGATGGCTTACTCTTAATCAAACCTGAACTTTTTGTTCGACATTCTAATTAGTCTTGAAATACCGAAGTACGTGAGTAATTATCATAAGAAGGCACCAAGACTAGCGTTACCGAAGTGGCTTCCCAATACGGTGGTTATAAGTCAATTTAAAATTAGTAAAAAGATCACATAATTTTCACATAATAATGGAGGCATCAGATACAGTGCCTCCATTTCTGTGTATCAGAAATATACTTAATTCGTTATAGTTGTCCCTAAGCTGCTTATGAAGTATAACACATACCATCCAGGAGGACTGAAGAGTGTTCCTTCGAGATAAAAACTTGTATCATAATGATGCCCCTCACTTTTGATTTGTTAACGCGCACAATATACTAGCCTAGCCTTGTTGTTGTTAAAGATTCGCTACCTGGAACAAAAAGTTCCAAGTAACATGGGCTATGGTGAGCCCGTAGATAGCCTAGCCATATAAATGTCAAGCTGCCTGCAGAAAATACAAGACAACTCTCTAGGGAAGGGGGGGGGTAGAAATAGCCTCAGCTTCTGTATTCCTTTGAGATGTATTTTTTCTTGTCTCAATAAACATACTTGAACTTGAAGGAGAACTCTTCACAACCTTTCCATCGGTGTAGATAGGTTACAACTTGATTGACGATTGATGAAGATTAAGCCATCCAAGAGGTGGCACGGACATGAATCCTTAAAGTTCAAAGGACGATTGTGTCAGATGATAGGTAGGCTGCCGATGAGTGCCTCTTACACCCGCAGCTTATCTACAAAGTCCCATTACTACTGCTTACCGTGATCAACGCTAATAGCCTGGAGGACACCATGGGTAGGCGCTAGCGTGATTTTGCCGCCATACAGCGGCATACCATACAGTATGCCGTGCCATACCCACCGTACATACGCTGTATGTAATGCCATATAGCGTGCCCAACAATACCCACCTCCTCCCGGAGCACCTCCAGCGTCGACACCTGCTCCGTCATGTTGGACTTGCGCACATTAAACTGGTCCCGCAGGTGCTGCAGCTGTAGTTCCAACTGCTGCTCATGCTTGGACGACTGCCGGAGGAGAGACACATGTTACTACCCTCACATGTGGCCACTTTACCCATGAACACACATGCTAAACATCTGTATATTATAGGTTATACGAATACCAAGTATTAGTGCTGCTCACGATATGGGTCATATCAGTCGATTTGCATATTAACTTAAAATTAGTTATTTTCTTAAACTTTAGGTACCAACATAACTTACATGAAATTATTTAACTTTCAAATATCTATTTGGTAATTTATCATAGAAAATGGGAGGTAGATATCAAAAGTAGCCAATCAAATCAATATATAGAAAACTTAATACTAGATGTCGTATACTTAAAACATATTATCACTAAACCAATTAAATTAAAAGTTGCATTACTTACACAGCTAAATGTAAAACTAACAGTAAAGATTATACACTTTACTTCAATAATTGCAAACCACTAAAATAGATGAAATTCCTGAGTAGAAGGAATATTATAAAGCATGAAACAAAATGTGGCATGAATTTCACTTGACAATCAAATCAGAAATCAAAATGAGGTGATATATCAATGAGAAAATAATTCTGGGGCACTGGTTCGAGCCTCCAGAACCCCCCAGTGAATTCTATAGAGTTCCGGGTTGGTTGGCTTTTGTCCTATCGTGGTTGAGTGGGTCAAGGCAGGTGTCTGGGAATCACCAGAACGCTGGTTCAAGTCACCTTAATGCCCCAAAATGATTTCCTCATATATATATATATATATATATATATATATATATATATATATATATATATATATATATATATATATATATATATAGCAATACTTCGCCTCCACTTAACACTCAAACAAAAGATTACCTTCCTTGTAACTTGACTCTCAAGTTCCAGTTAGTTGACTTAAGTTCTTGTTAGTCGACTCTCAACTTCCAGTTATTTGAATTTAAAGTTTCAGTAACTTGACTGACAAGTTCTAACAACTTGACTCTGAAGTTTTAGTTAAAATAACTTCCTGGGGCTGACCCGTCGAAGAATCAGTTTGGTAACTCCCTCTGGTGTCTTAGGGGCTGACAGTCTTATCAACCAGACTGTTGGGTGCTTGTAACTCGTAGCCTGACGAAGGCTTCCCCCTGCGCGGGGGGAAGCCTTCGTCAAGCTCCCTTAGCTCCCTTAAGGGCCTCGTAGCCTGGTGGATAGCGCGCAGGACTCGTAATTCTGCGGCGCGGGTTCGATTCCCGCACGAGGCAGAAACAAATGGGCCAAGTTTCTTTCACCCTATGCCCCTGTTATCTAGCAGTAAATATGTACCTGGGAGTTAGTCAGCTGTCACGGGCTGCTTCCTGGGGGTGGAGGCCTGGTCGAGGACCGGGCCGCGGGGACACTAAAGCCCCGAAATCATCTCAAGATAACCTCAAGATAGCCTGTGATGAGCAGGGACTTAGATGACCAGGTATCCTTAGTATGTGTTTATGGAGATAACTTATGACCACAAAGGTCTATTGGTAATTCTTGTTTATGTTTCGCGGGAATGTGTTGAAGCATCTTGAGCCATGTTGACCGAACTACCTCTTAGCGCACGTAAAGCGCATCTTCCTTGCAGTTATCTTGCGATGATTTCGGGGCTCAGCGTCCCCGCGGCCCGGTCCTCGACCAGGCCTCCTTTATTCATTCATTCATGTTTCTCTCTCTTGCTAGCCTGCGTAGCGTAGCGTGGAGTACAGCGTGATGGATTTCAAGTTAACAAGTTGAGTAACTTCTTCTAGACCTAGCCCTTGAGCAGCAGATTGAGTACCCCTCAACCCCTCAAATGAGGAAACACTTATATGTGAGACTCACCTCTTTGAGTTGAGTGGTGAGTCGTTGGTTCTGCTCGGTGAGTTGGTCAATGAGTTGACTCTTATCCCTCTCCGTCTGTTTGATGCTGTCCCTCTCCTCATGCAGCTCACCCCTGAGGGAGACATGAGGCAGTGTGAGGCTGGGAGTGATTGATTGATGAAGATTAAGCCACCCAAGAGGTGGCACGGGCATGAATAGCCCGTCAGTGGTGGCCCTTTTGAGCCATTACCAGTATCAGTAGATGATACTGGAGATCTGTGGAGGTGCGACTGCACCCTGCGTGACGGGAGATGTCTCCCGTAAGGCTGGGAGGGAGGGAGGGATCATCAAGGAAAAGCGCCAAGCCATTACGACTATTTAGCACTGGGAGGGGGTCAGGATATGGATTTGGGATGGGACGGGGGAAAGGAATGGTGCCCAACCACTTACACGGTCGGGGATTGAACGGCGACCTGCATGAAGCGAGACCGTCGCTCTACCGTCCAGCCCAAGTGGTTAGAGGCTGGGAGAGCCAAGCAAGGGGTGGAGGGGGGGGGAGGTAGATGAGATGGGGGGTGAGAGTGAGGAACCTCATCATGAACCACATTACAACAAAACAAAGGAGATTACTGAGCGTCACAGTTACAAGGTTATCGCGAATAACCGAACTCAATTACGGGCTCACCATAGTCCGTGCTACATGGACACTTCGTTCTGAGTAGCTAAATCTAAAGCAACAACATTACTGAGCGGGTTTTCGGCCTTCGGTACAGGCCTTCCTCAGAGGGAAATAGAATATGAGAGAGGGAGGAAGGGAGAGGTTGTGAGGTCATCTACCTCACACTGGTAGCAACCCCCCCCCCCTCCCCAAGAGGAAACGGGCCAGATTCACGAAGCAGTTACGCAAGCACTTACGAACGTGTACATCTTTCCTCAATCTTTGACGGCTTTGGTTACATTTATTAAACAGTTTACAAGCATGAAAACTTGCCAATCAGCTGTCGTTATTGTTATAAACAGCCTCCTGGTGCTTCGGAGCCCATTAACTGTTTAATAATTGGTAACAAAGCCGCCAAAGATTGAGAAAATATGCACAGGTCCGTAAGTGCTTGCGTAACTGCTTCGTGAATCTGGCCCCTGGTCACCTGACTACCAGACAAAGTGAGGATAAAACTTTATCTCTTAGAGAAAATAGGGATAAAATAAATATTAAAGATATTTAATATAGATAAGATAAGAGAGCTATTGGAAAACTAAACAAATATGATCCTTTATCGCTAAATTGTGGATGAAATATAGAGCATAAGAACAAAAGGTTGGCAATTTTTATCCCAAAATTACCAACAGTCGGATATGGTTCCACAGAAAACGGGTTAATTGGATAGTACACTAAGGTAAAAAAAACACAGAAATTAACCATCCCATGACAGGGGTGCTAATCTTACTATGTATATTGGCGCGCTATACTGGAGCTTAGATGTGAATCTAATTTGTACATACCAAGGCTAACGTTAAGGCTACAGGCACATTAGTTAATCAAGGCTGACTCAATCACATTTCGCTTAACAAATTACTTTATATATCAGCCACAATTTCGCTAAAAATGAGAATATTTCTTGAGTTTTTCAACAGCTCCTTGTCTTTAATATTTATTTTATCCCTTCACATAACCCCATCAACGTACTCGTGAGCTCTCATGACCCCATCAAAGTATTCATGACCCCATCAAAGTATTCATGACCCCATCAAAGTACTCATGACCCCATCAAAGTACTCATGACCCCATCAAAGTACTCATGACCCCATCAAAGTATTCATGACCCCAACAAAGTACTCATGAGCTCTCATGACCCCATCAAAGTACTCATGACCCCAACACGGAGACTTACTTGACACTCTGCAAGTCGATGGTGAGTTCCTGTATTCTGACTTCATATTCGCTCTCTGTAGAAGTCAACTTTCGTCTCAAACTGTGTTTCTCTTGCTCCAACACCTGTGGGAGAGGGAGGTTAGTTAGTCTTGCTTCGCTCAGTATTAGGAAATGTATATGTTTATCTATATAAATGTATATATGACAGAGGCCTGATCGACGACCGGGCCGCGGGGACGCTAAGCCCCGGAAGCACCTCAAGGTAACCTCAAGGTAACCATCTCTCAGAATGTTTGGTAATATGTTTATTGTTTGTGATGTGTGTCTATGTATGTATTAACACGATGTACTGAACGGGGTGAGAATAGCTTGAGCTACCTCATCCCTTGGTGTGTATTTTACCTCAATAAACTTCTTTCTATTTCAATTTCGCTCAGTATCTACAACACCACATCAATCGTATTATGTATAAAAGAACATACCTTGAACACTGTTTATGTAGGACAGACGTAAATCCATGTATATATGTAGGTTTGATTAGCATTTTAAAAGCACTACAATCACCTTTTGTGGTGGATGTTTCAATAAAACACTGAGCTATATCAGTGTTATACATAGTTATACTATGTATAACAGACCTCTAATCCTGTCCATGGAGGACAAGAAGGTGTATAATATGTTGGTTACCATTGTAAATGGCTAGCCTCGTCTGTGGTAGAAAAACAACTACTACTGCTACTACTATTAAATAATAATAATAATAATAATAATAATAATAATAATAATAATAATAATAATAATAATAATAATAAATACAGAAATCCCATTAATGTGGAACATATATACAGTATCAATGAGTAAATCCCCCAGGACTGTGAGGTGGGGACGAACCTACGACACTCCCCTTCCACCTGATTTCTTGTGGGTCATACGTCAAAACTTGGACGTGCTTCAGTAGGAGCCTCCAGACTACCTGTGATTTCAGTAGAAATCCGCTTGCATGACTTTTTCACGAGTTAGTGATGGTCTAGTGGTAGAGTACGCGACTGGCAGTACCTTGGTCGGAGGTTCGCGTCCATCTCACAGCCCTGGTGGACTTATTTCAATAATAATAGTAATAATTCACAATAAAGTCCAACAACGACTACACCCTTCACATTCCTCCTTTGTCCTACGTCTCTCCCGCTCCACTCCCCCTCCCTATCACTATTTTCACTCCCCTTCGCAGCACACCCCCCCCATGCTCCTCATCCCTCCCCCCCCTGCACCTCATCCCTCCCCCCCCTCTTCCACCCCCTCCCCCTCATTCATCAGCTATCAGTGGCCGCTACTAAGCCGGAGCCAATTATAAATTCAAGGGAAGACCAGGTCCTTACCGGAGGCCTTGGTCTATATCAGGTCGAGGCTGAGGAGGGGCTATCGTGCCATCTCTCAAGCTTGCGAGGTCACGCTGACAATATGTGTGAGCTTACACACTTGGAAGATGACAGTGGCATTTTGTTCCCGCCAAACACACACCAAAACTACGACGTTGGTATAACCTTCGAACAAGTTTTAACACCTAACCAGTTCTAACCACCAATATAGCTAGTTGTAACAACGTTCTAATACGTCATAAACACGTTAAGCCAAGACGTAACAAGTTTATTACAAGTTGTAACAAGCGGAAAATAGAGACAGTTTCGTTTTGTGTTTCCAGGGTTATGAGCTGTCTTACCCCAAGCTTGAGCTTGGGGTAAGACAGTGGCAAGTTGTGTGACCGTACAAACTTGGGATAAAACTGCAGTGTTCCAGCTTTGCATGGATCAGTAGGCCTACCACAGTGTTGTCAGGTTCATATCACTCGTCTACACCCACACGGGCAGTGTCTCACTGAGTCCCTCCCCTTCCCCCTTTGTCACCCGTGTCCTTCTGTTCCCCTTCACTACTCCCCCTTCACCCCCCCTTTGCACCAGCTCCCCCCCACGTCCCTGACTGCAACAGTCTCCCCTCCCCCTCCCCTCAACACCAGGTGAGAGGCAATTACCTCGTTCCCACAGGTAAAGGCACATATCACGCTCGACAAACAAGTCTTTAATTAGAAGGGTGTGGCACTCCTGCGGAGTGACCATCGGGTGCCACTCCACGTACATGGTGGCACTCCCTCACTACGTGTAAACTTCGTGAAAAAAAAGATATATGACGCATTATTCAACACAGTGTCAGCGAAAGTCCAGTTCTCAATGACTGACACCAAATGACATGAGATGCCTGGAACTTTGTAACTAATTCACCAACGGATACTAGAAGCTATCCTCACAGTCTATCCAAAGGTAGCTAGTGCAGGCTACTAGACTTAACTCGTACCCTTTGTATGACCAACCAGTCTACGAGATGATATCAAGTGAACGTATAGATGATATCTATAAATGATAGATGATATCTATCTCTTGGTCTACACTCCGCAACCTCTCATACAGATTAGTGTATGAGAGCCCGCGAATTCCCCTGGGGTCAGGTCCCGGGTCACCACGCGGGCTCAGCTTCCCATTCTCTTTTGTCGATAAACCACTCTGGATAATTCTTACAACCAGTCTAGTTTGTTACATTAGATTGGCACCAGTCTTGTTTACATAAGCTTGTCAGGGAAACCAAAATCACGCTGTCCACTGTGGTGTCGCCCGTCCTCACTGCTAGTGTAGGTTATGATGCCTTTTTCAGGCCGAAAGATAAGGGACAGACTAAGTGTTCCCTGAGGTGCCGTTAGGTCACAGGGCTTTTAATCTATGGACTGTTTCTTCCTGTTGGGAAGTCAGGGCGAGGCCGGAAACCTTATCTGCTCTACAGGACCTGCCTCACCAGCCGTGCCTGACCTTCCTCGGCTGAGGAGTCGTCGGTTTTCCGCTAGCTTCCTTCCGCAGACACCGGGAGGATACCGGGATCACTGACTCCTGTCTCCTGCTGGTACAGCAGAGAGACCGCCCTCTCCCGCCTCCACGCCCTTTCCACCGGGACTCGCTTAGGGCCTATACCTCCCCCTAATCCTATTATCATACCTCCAAACTTAGCTGAATTTAGGTTCATATCTCCCCCACCCACACACATGACCCAGGAAGTGTGTGCTTGGAACAGGGGGTGGTAGAGGGGGGCAGTAGCGGCTTGGTGGGGGGGGGTGGAGGGGGGGCAGTAGCGGGGGTGGTGGAAGGGGCAGTAGCGGCTTGGTGGGGGTGGTGGAGGGGGGCAGTAGCGGCTTGGTGGGGGGGGGGGTGGATGGGGGGCAGTAGCGGCTTGGTGGGGGGGGGGTCATCGTGGTCAGCTCCACTAACCACTGCCGCTAAGTGCACCTCGCCCCCACACTATGCCTTCCTGTCGGTTAATTGACCCAGCAACTGAGAGCGCAATTCTGCGCGTGTTACAATATATTACCACGTATGTCAGACCATTTCTGAAATATGAGGCGCTAGTAAAGTCTTCTTATCTCCTTAAACACAAAACGGAGACTGAGAAAGTCGAGAGGTATGGCACCGTACTGGTCCCAGGGCTGAGAAGTATGAGCTACGAAGAAAGACATGAAATTAAATCTTAGGTCATTATAAAAAAGTGAAGAAACACGGGAGACATGATAACCACATACCACATTCTTGCATAGAAAAAGAGAGAAAAAATTATGACCTAAACTCAATCTTCAAATGAGACTTTGAGGCATTATATCAAATGATTTCATTGTCAGAATAGTGAACAAAATAGAACAATGCCAGAATAGTGAATACAGTACCGATTGATTGATGATTGATAAAGATTAAGCCACCCAAAAGGTGGCACGGGCATGAATAGCCCGTAAGTGGTGGCCCTTTTGAGCCATTACCAGTATCAAGAGCTAATACTGGAGATCTGTGGAGGTGCAACTGCACCCTGCGTGACGGGAGATGTCTCCCGTGAACACAGTACCCACGGAAGACACCATATATACCTTGGTGGTGCTGGTCTCCAAGATATTTGACGGGAGACATCTCCCGTCACGCAGGGTGCAGTCGCACCTCCACAGATCTCCACAGACGGCTCAAAACGGCCACCACTTACGGGCTATTCATGCCCGTGCCACCATTTGGGTGGCTTAATCTTCATCAATCAATCTTGGTCTCCAAGTGTGACTACAGGCTGCGGGACCTCCTATAATTACCACACGTTGCTGGGTCAACATTCATCCCGACCACTTACGAAACCTGAACATCTTTCCTTAATCACGGTGGCTTTGTTTACATTTAGTAAACAGTTTACGAGCGTGGAAACTTCCCAACCGGAGGGAAGTTATTATTGTTATAAACAGCCTCATAGCGCTTCCGAGCAACATAAACTGTTTAATAAATGTAAGTAAAACCGCCATGATCCAAGGAAAGATGTACAGGTTTCGTAAACGGTTGCGTAAATACTTGAGAAATCGTGGTACTTACCCGTCAGTGGCTATCTTGAGGTTATCTTGAGATGATTTCGGGGCTTTAGTGTCCCCGCGGCCCGGTCCTCGACCAGGCCTCCACCCCCAGGAAGCAGCCCGTGACAGCTGACTAACTCCCAGGTACCTATTTACTGCTAGGTAACAGGGGCATTCAGGGTGAAAGAAACTTTGCCCATTTGTTTCTGCCTGGTGCGGGAATCGAACCCGCGCCACAGAATTACGAGTCCTGCGCGCTATCCACCAGGCTACGAGGCCCTACGGTAAAGCCGTTATGGGGTCAAGACCTGTGTGACCATCACCAATGCCAGCACCAGCAACCTAACCGTTTGCAACCTGTTCTCTTAAAAAGAACGTCGATTTTGGCCGTTTGCCCGTATGTCCGCATTTGGACGTAATTTGAAAACGAAAAAAAAATGAAAATAAACTTGAGATTTTTTTTTCAACAACAGTAAGTTAAGGGTCCTCTGATAGGTTAGGTGGGCAGGAAATTCTCATAAAGTTTCAAAACGATATGAAAAACGCTAATGAAAAGTTTCCTCTTCTAGCCTTACCGAGTAGGCCGGACGACTCAAACAGAAAACGGAACAGCATGTAACTTTTGTGAGTAGATTTCATTTCAAATTACGTCCAAATTTGGCCATAGCGCGCATACGAGCCAAAAGTGACGTTATTTTTAAGAGGACGGGTTGTA